GTAAAATACTCGTATGAAAATCATGAGATTGGTAAGTAAAGCTTTAATATTTGTTTTAATTAAAATAATTAAAGAAATATAAGTAAGATATATAAATCTAAAAATTATTAAGATATCTGTAAAAAATAAGTTGCTCCTATAAAATAAAAATAATTTATTGTTTTTACTTTTTACAAAATTTTTTTTGCGATGTTTGGAAAAATAATGCAAATAAATTTCTTTTGCTGTATGTTAAAAAAATACTACAGTAGAAAAACGCAGCTTAGTTTAATTACACTTTTCTTTTGTTAAAAGTCTACCGTGACGTCAAATACTAAAACTTTTATGAATTAAACGCGCTTCAAAGGAATTGCCAAAGTCTGTAGATTGCGACACATAATTTGAAGACTCCGATTAGTTGAAAAAAATGGAGAAGACGAGCTTCGGCAAAAACAACAACATTTGTTTTTCACGGTATGCATTCATTATTTATTTTTAATCAAAAAAATTTGGTTCAAACCTTTTTTTTTAATATTATCTTTAATATGAACACAACATGTGTTGGGAGTTTGGGATCCCTTTAAATTAAAAATGAATTCGAGAAAATAAAGTGTTTTAAGTTTAAACTTTTCATAATATTCAATTAAAAAAATACATAAAAAAAGTACTTATGATTAATTTAAATAATTTAAGTTAATCATAAGTACTTTTTTGATTAAATTGTTGCCTGATCATCAATTGGCAAGACCCAGGGCTGAATTCACGGGTAGTGTAAGGAGGGGGTTGTCGCTCTTTATTCAACTCCCTTTTTTCCTTAAGAAGAGGGAAGAGTCAATATTAGACTTAACAAATTATGAAATAAATGACTTTTTAGTGTCAAAGTTGCTTTTCTGAAGTTTTTACATTATAGTGTAGTCAAAATTTACTAAAAAAGGGGTCAACCTGGACAAAATTTGTAAAAAGCAGTGTTTGGTATCATTATACCTTCAAAAAATGCAATCCTTAAAATTTGACCACCCTTTACTATATATACAGTACAGTAAGACCGAATATCAGAAAAAGTAATCGTTATTAGGCAGGTTTATGGCCTGATTTAGTCATAGAATAAAGTATGATGAAAGTAATTAAAAGCAGAGGAGGGCTAACACATGGAAGAGGTATGGCCACAAGTACTAGAGATCTTTGGGTCAGTACTATGCATGAATGTGCATCAGTTCATGCAGCAATGACAGGGGTTGCACGACAAACTAGGGATGAAAAAGATCTCAAAGTCATGATAGAACAACTTCGTAGGTATAATCCATTTAATTGCCAAGACCCAAGACTGCGATGCATTTTTACAGGATTAACTGCCGCTGAAAGTGACGGTATAAACTGTGATGCCAAAAAGATAGGATTAAAGATTCAAATGGATCTTGATAATGTTTTTGTTAACAAAGCTGTTGTAAAATGTTCTGAAAAAGCTAAAAGTCTTATAATGTTACACCCTGAAATTGCTCATACTCAAAGTTGCTTTGAGTATGAGCTAACACCTGAACCATCATTGCTTTTTAAAGATGGGTTTATGAGGAAATCGAATAAAGCATTACTTAGTAAAGTTCTTCTATGTAATTCTTCAATTAAACAATCAAATGAGCCAAACAAAACCAGCTATGTTTTAGACAGGGGAGCATTACTACACAAAGTCCTTTGAAAATTCCTTCTACATTTGCTGATATAGTTTAACAGTATTGCAATTATATTGACCGAAAATATGAAAAAAATACAACTTTTTGATGGGTACAAACTTTTGACGAAAGATCATGAGCACCAAAGACAATTAAAAGTAAAATTTCCAGATCTTGCTCTACATCTTCAAATGGAAATTAATTGCAAGCAAGCTGATTTTTTATCAAACAAAAACAATAAAACCAATTTAATTAACTTCTTATCAAGTGCTTTGATATTACATGGTCATGATTGCATTAGACGTTAAGATGACGCTGACAAAACTATAGTTTTGAAAAGTCTTAAAAATGCAAGCCAAGGAAATCATACTACTGTTGTTGCTGATGATACAGACATTTTTTTTACTTTTAAACATGTGGCAGCCATCAATAAGCGATATTTTCATACGTCATGAAGCATGTAAAGGCATCAAAAAAAACATGGAATTGATCAGTCTCACTATTGCCAACTTATGTAAGAAACAACCTACTATTTATTCATGTTTGGGGCGGATGTGATACTACATTTTCATGTTTTGGGCAAAAAAAATCTGCTGCCATGAAGTTAGTGGAACAAAACAGCATTTTAATTAAAAAGGCGTATCTTGTATTTAACGACCCTTTTGCAACACAAGAAAAAGTTTCATCTGCTGGAATACAATTTGCTATAAAAGCTTATGGTAATGTAGAAAAAAATTAATTATGATAAAGAAAGATTCGCTAAGAAACAAAACAATTTTTATATTTTTTTGAAAATCAAATCCTAGGTGGAAACAGCAAAAAAGAAAACCTTACATTGATGAGAAAATATAAGTATATGTAAATGGAAACATCATCCTTTAAAGATATTCAACCAGAAAGACTTTCACCAACATAAGATGCTATAAGATATCATTTTTTAAGAGTGCACTTGCAGATTTTGCTATGGTTGAATATTGAACTTGAACCAACTGAGTGGGGATGGAGAAATCAAAGTAATATCTTGGCCCCAATAATGACAGATAACGTAAAGAAAAAGAAAAGAAAATCTGATTGAGCAACTTATGTTATGTTATATGTTATTTGTTATGTAAAATAAGTTTAAAAAATTTTTATTTCTATGGCTCGAATTAAGTGATCGTGAATTGTTTTATCTGGAAATGCTTGCGGTTTTTAAATTTTTAGCTTTTTATAAATCGAAAAACTGTTTTGATCACTAAACTCAATATATATCATTCAATAAAAAATATTTACGTTGATTATTATATAAATTCTTATTGTAAAACTATATTATTATTATTATTTTTATTATTATTAAAAATTATAATTTAAACTTTGATATTTTAATTTATTTTATAAAACATCAGATAAAACTAGAAAAATAAATCACAATAAAGTATTAAAAAACAAGCTCTAATCACAACAGTCTAAAGGACTTTAACAGAGATCAAATATTTTAAATAGAAGAAATTGTTAAATAAGATATAAAATACTTTTGTATCTTATTTAAATCTTATTCAATATTTCTTATAAATTAAACGCTTGTAACACTTTAGCAAATACGAATACAAAATTAAAAGACGGAGGAATTAATATATAAAAACTAATTTAAAATATTTATAATTATTTTAAAACAAAAAAAAAAGAAACTCTAGTAACATATTTTATAAAAATATATTTTACAATTTCTTTTCTAATCAATTAATTTCTAATTTAAAACATTTAAATTTTTAAATAAATAATTCCATAAACTTTTCCCCTAAATAAAAATCTATTTTAATGTTTTATATAATGCGCAAAGTAGTTTAGCGCATTATATAAATTAATGTTTTATATAATGCGCAAGTAGCTTTAGCATATTTTTTATTTGGTTGGTTTTTTATTGGTTGATTTTTAAATTACCGCAAAAGTTTTTCAGTAATTTAGTAATAATAATTTTTGTCTTACAACTTTTTTTTTTCATTTATAATCCCTAAATTACCTGGTGTTTAAAAAAAATAATAATTAGTTTTTAGCGTTTACAGTTTTTTAAAAAAACTAAGAATTTAATGACCAGAAATATTTCAGGATAATGCAATTCGCGATCACTTAGTTCGAGCGCTGATTTCATTTCAGGCTGCAGAACCAGAGCACATTTTTAGCATTATCCAATGTAACTATAGTATTACAACAAATATCTCCGATGATTCACGAGTGTGTTCTTTACATTTTGATGCAAGTTGTTTCAACAAATCTAATAAACAGTTAATTAAACTAAGTACTAGGAATAGATAAAATAAGATTATATTAAAAAATCTATAGTTTTTAATTAACTTTCAAAATTTTGACTATTTAAAAAATATATACTATAAAACATTGCATACAAACACAGCTTAAAAGATTTACCGCTTTGCAGATGTGGCTCCAAGAATGAGCCATAATATTAAAGTAATATTAAGTTTTTTGCGTATTACCTTGCCAAAAAAAAGACAAAGTTTCAACGTTACAAAGTTACAAACATAAAGTTCATAAAGACTAAGAAAATTATGAGAATATCTAGTATGACAACAGTATTTTATGCCATGTCAGAAAGGAGAGATAAGATACAGAAAACACATGCAAGATACCATGTCAGATAGGAGAGATTAATAGTAAACAAAATTCAGAAAAAGGAAATTACTTAGTTGCTATTCATAGATAATGAATGATCATGTTAATGGCCATTTGTAGAGTTATAAATAACAAGATTATAGAATTAATGAATATACATGCTGCAATATATATTGCAATCATAAATATGCATGCTGCAATATATACTGCAATAATAATATATATTGAGTTTTAGCCACATTGGAAGCCCCTAGTGGTTACATAAGAGGTGTTTAAAATTTAATTTAACTTAATAAATTTTTTATATTGAAAAAAAAATGTGCGTATAATTTTTGTTATGATATTGTAAAAAAATTTATGTTAAAATTTGTTTAAAATATTATTTAGATTTCTTATCTGTAGGGTTTGTATAATAAGTCAAAACAGATATAAACTTCATTATTTTCTTTTATAAGACTAATTTAAAAAAATCATAAAATGCAATGTCATACTTTGAAATCAATTTGTAATATAATAGTTATGTAAATATGACTTATTATACAAGGATTGTTTTTTTAGATCAACCCTATGTTTGAAAACAACATCTTAAATAAATTTAAATTATAACTTTAAAATCTTAACATCAAATATATGATTTGAACATTTTTTTTTTGTTAAACTTTGTCATCTAAAATAATAACAAAGTTTTCTTTGCTCAAAAATTAAAAAGTTTAGTTTTTATCTGTTTGCATTTTTAATATATTTTAGGTATTAGAACAAACTGGAAATAACAATGCAGCAAAAATATGGGAATTTTCTGTACCTCTCTGCTGGTCTCGCCCATCAAAAAATGATTATGAGTGAGTTTTTTTTTTTTTTTTGTGAAAATTTTTGAAAAAAGAAACAAAAAGTTAATTGCTAAAAATATAATAATAAATTTTTTTTTTTTTGTCAAAAAAATTAGCAAAAAAAAACTATTTTGAGTTATTTTTGTCATTAAAATATACATGTGTATTCATAAGTCCATACCTTTAGTCAACTATAGTTCTTTTTTTCATTTATCATTTGTATGGGTTATATATCTGTGTGTATATATATACATATATATATATATATATATATATATATATATATATATATATATATATATATATATATATATATATATATATCAGGATTGCAATAAAAACGTTTTTTTTGAAAAAAACCAAAAACCATAGATTTTTTGAAAAAAACCAAAACCATGGTTTTTTTGGTTTAAATTAGGTTTTTACTAAAAAATGCGGTATTTAGTTATCCTTTTAAATTAAAAAAAGCATAACGTATTTTATTTTAAAAAAATTTTATCGATGTTATTGTTATACTTCATCAAAATTACTCATCATTGTTTAATGTTCTATATATAAGTACAAGCTTTGCTGCTTGTTCTAACCCCAATTGGTTTCTTAACTTAGAATGAACAAGACCAAAAGTTGAAAAAATTCTTTCAATTCCAGCACTAGAAGCTGGTGCATTTAATAAACCTTCAATATCCATTATGTTATAGTAGATTTGGCTTTTAATTTGAATAATATTGGTAACAAATTCTTAAACTCTTTATCTGCGAAATTCATGGCAGCGTCATTTTCTAATCAGATCTAATCAGAAAGATTAGATCCAAAATATCTAGGGTCTAGTATGTTTACCAGGAAATGACCATCACTGACAGTCTGAAGGTATCTAGATTCAATTTTTTTTTTTTTTTTGTTTGATAAAAATGATAAACTGTTCATCAAATCTTTAAAAATTTCAAGAGTCACTTATTTTTGTTTGATCTCTTTGCAACTTATCTAGAGCTACTGCAATTGGTTTCAATATTTTCAATAAATCTTCTGTGTTTCGCTTTATCTGTATATCACTTACTTTTTTACTAATCATGGGATCCAAGTCTTTATTTTTTTCAAACATTGTGAAAAAAATGCTCCAGTTGTTGACATTTTTCAAATAAATCACATACAGAATTCCAGCAAGTTTCAGTAGGAAGTGGCAATTTTGTTCCTCCGCTTAATTTATATATTGCTCCAGCTTGATGATTATTTCTGATATATTTTATTATTTGTGTAACATGCTTGTTTACATTTTTAATGTTCAGATCATTTGCTAAAAGATTCAGCATATGAGCAGCACACCCATAAGTTATGATAATATCTCTTTCAGATGACAATACTTGTTTCATTAATTTCATATTAGCTGCATTGTCAGTCACAAAGCTTTTTACTGTGCATTCAAATTTACGTCTTACAAAATCTATTGCTTCTCTTGCTAATTGTGTAAGATATTCACCAGTACGTGAATTACCTGAAGTGTTGATTGTTTCTACTAAAATGTTAATTTTATCTGTAATTACAGAGATTGAAACTATAGGTTCATTATGTACATTACTCCAGCCATCTAAAGGCATGACTGCAATTTTCCCATTCAATACATTACATTTTTAAATTTCTTTTGTGTAAACCCTATCTAATATTTCTCCTCCAATTTGAGTTCTATTAGGTAGAGTGTATCCTGGATGAAGGAAATTGATAAATTTTTTATAAAAAAAAAAAAAAAAATTATATTGAAGATTAGTTATATTTGTAAACATAACCCTGTCTTAGTTTCCTGTTGTAAGTTCAAATCTTTTTAAAAAAACAAGAGTTTGGTTGAAACCAATATTTTTTTAATTGGTTTAAACCATGGTTTAAACCATGCAACCCTGATATATATATATATATATATATATATATATATATATATATATATATATATATATATATATATATATATATATATATATATATATATATATATATTATATGTATATATATATAAACAGTCTAGATAACGCCTGATATAAATACAGGCTTGGCAGGAATAGGCGAGTGCGGGAGCAGAAAAAAGCTCTCATAAAACAAACATGACGAGTCATGCGAGCTGCTTCTCTAAACAGCTTTTTAGGAGAACTTTTAGTTGTTGGGCAAGTTATCTGTTTATTTATTAAATAAATTGCTTATTAAATACAAAATATAATTTTACTCTTGTTACAAGCATTTGCTTGTAACGTTAATTTTAACAGATTATATACATTACGAGCATCATTTATCGTGTCATAAAATTTTTTATTAAAACAAGTAATTAGAGTATTACAATACATTTTGTAATAATAAAAATCCATCTGAAAATGGAACTTTGTTTTTTATTTATTCAATATATTTTACACAAGAATTTTTAAAATTTCTAAACAATATCTAAAAATAGAGAAGGAAAAAAGTTGGTTTTCATTTATGAAAAAGTTATACTTTTACAAGAGCCATAAATTGCTTCCATAAACCACTTTAGGGGAGTAAATATTTACACCTGATGATTGCATTTAGCATGAAACTTATAGTTTACGTATATATATATATACATATATATATATATATATATATATATATATATATATATATATATATATATATATATATATATATATATATATATATATATATATATATATATTATATATATATATATATATATATATATATATATATATATATATATATATATATATATATATATATATATATTGTTATGAGATTTTGATGCGTAACGCAAAAGCGCAACCTGAATTTAAGTAACTTTTTAAAAAAAAGATATTTACATTGTTAAAAGATTAATTGCATCAGTTGCGTATTTTAAAATACCTCATTGTAATTCAATTCAAAAACACATTAGAAATTATTGGAAGTCTTAAAAATAAAATATCTTTAAATTAAACAATATTGTTATAAAAAAAAGTTATAAATTAAATTTAAATGTTGATTAAAAAATAATTTCCTTTTTTTAAAATTTTATATTTATTTATAGTTTAAATTTTAAACTTACCTTTTTTTTTTAGGTTATTTTTTTTAAATGAGTGGACACTTGTTTATGGTTGATTTTCTTAAAGGGATTTAAGTGTACTTCTACACTGTTAGATTAGGTTTTCCCCTTTTTATTAAATTAAAAATTGTAATTGATTATGTAGAAGATTACCGCTTTTCGGCTTTTTTTTTTTTTATTTCTATTAAAATATTTTATTTTTATGTACCGTGAAACCTAAAGTTTTTTTACTATTTCTTACTAAATCCAAAAAGAAAAATTGTATTTTCGGTTATAAAATGTTATTAGCAGAACTTGTTTTAAACAAATATCAGTATAATTTTAAAATTTATGTATCTTACATCCATAGCACTAGTATTAGTTTTGTTTTTAAAACAAAATAAATATAAGTTGGGCGTTTAAAGAGTATATTTTTGATAGCCTTATTTTTAATTGGTTTAAAGTTTGGTTCGTTTTATAAAAAAATTCTACTGCATAAAACTTAACGGCAAAGGGAAAACCCAAACAACATTTAACTCAAGTTTGAAAGAACGTTTTTGTATGATGTCATTTATTAACTACAAAAGCACCCAGTATTTGGAACTGGAGCTTACCTGAAATTAAAATGAAGTTATATGTAATGCGAATATTTTAAAGTTACTTGAGTTAAATTTATTAATTTTTTTTTTTTACTTTAACATAAATTTTGGAAATTTTATCATTAAAAAAAGTTGTAAAACAAAGCTTTTTTAAATTTTTAAAAAAATTTTTATTAAATTTAATCAAATAAATTACTAAAACTATGAAAAATAATAAAATTAATTCAAATTTAATAAAATAAATTATAATTTTTTTTTTTTTTTAAATGGAAAATAGAAAAAAGGATATCTATCTGTTTTTTTATCTAATAAAAAAAAAAATTTTAAAAATGTTTTTTACAACAATTAATTACAGTTTAATGTTTTCCGCTTAATCTGTTTTAAAAGACTGTTTAAAATAAACTTATTGAAAAAAGTTTTAGCGTAATGTAAATTGCAAAACGCGTACATGGTCAGGCTTGGTCAGGAAGTGGGAGCGATCGCTCTCGATTGGTAACCACTAAAATAATATTTAATTGCAAAAAACTGGCCAAAAAGCACCCAAAAAATGCGCTAAAGAATAATTGGACCGATGAGAGACAATAACAAAAAAAAAAAATTACAAAAATATCTTTCAACGCGAAAAAACTTAAAGCAAAATAAATTACGTTTAGAACAAATATTTTCGAAACATCGCTCTTTTATAATTTTTTTATAAAATTAAGTGACATTTTTTTATATAAAGTAACATCTTACAATTGTTTAAAAAGGAAACAAATGTTCTTTATTTAGCAAAGTTTGCAAGTTTTAGTTTTATCTAAGCTAAATTAATTTATAATTAAAAAAGTTAATTTTTTTAATACCTATTTTATGTTTCGCGTAGTTTGAAAAGTTTAACATAATGGAAACAATTCTTCTTAGTAAGATAAACAAATGAAATACTTAAATCATTGAATTACTATAGAAAATTAATTAACGAGATAGAAATCAACTATGAATTGCAATTTAATCGAAAATAATTAGAGTTAGTAAACCAATATCTAGAAACTTTTCTTTAATCTAATAACTTGCTATGGGGTTGTCCATTAATAACGTCAACAAAATAGAGGGGAGGGGGGTCTGAACTTTTTTTGACAATTGTTGACATGGGGGAGGGAGGAGGTTAATTAAAGTTTACATCAACATTTTTTTTTTTTTTGAGTTTCTTTGCTTAAATAACAGAAAATTATTCTGAGTTTGTAATGTAGTTTCTTTGTATAAGATGGGGGGTAATCAAAAATATATAGGGGGGGGGGGTCTCTGGAAATTTGACAAATTGTTGACAAGGGGGAGGGGATGAGGTAAAAATTTCAAAAAACTTGTTGACGTAGTTAATGGACACCCTCTAGGTCACAAATACATTTGTGACCTAAGGCGCGGTGCTTGTTCATCCACGAGTTACTTTGTATGCATTGTTTGTAACCAGAAACTTTTTATATGTTTGTTACATAATTAATTTCATTAACTTTAATGATTATTATTAACTACATTGAAAACACAATTATTTTTGAAAGTCTTTATTTACAAATTAAATCATAAAAATTGCTTTAAAAGATTTTATTTCGATAAAAAGCAGATACACCAAATTTACATTTAAATAAAAAATACGTACTTTTTAAATAAAAAATAAGAATATACTAGTAAAATCTATAATTTATAATAAACTTTTAAAATTTTGACAATTTAAATAATATATATTTAAAACATTTATTTTTGTAAACAAATAATAATAATTTATAAGATTTACAACTTTGCAGACGTGGCTCCGAGAAGAGCCATAGTATTGATAATATATTCTTAAAACAATTTATGCTAGAAATCTCAAAATGTATCTAATCATGAATAATACAATTTTTAAAACATTTCAACAGAATACTCTATAACTTTATTTTGCTTAGTCAGCGTATTTTTTGAACCAATAGAATTAGTTTGTTCGTTAATTTGGCGGGTTTTTAGTGTTTGCGAATATTCTTTTTATTCTTCCACACTAAGATGCTTTGAGAACAAGTTTTTTCAAGTTTTTTTGTGTTTCCATGTTTGTCCGTAAAACAAAAATTTTTTGTTTCGTACATAAACTTAAATGTTCTCAAAATGACTAAAAAATCTTGCTAGTTTTTTGCAACTAAGTATAATTTCCGTGGTCAGTATTCAAGAGCGATCACTCCCGCTTTCCGACCAAGCCTGACGTGAAATCATGAATACGTACGTAAAACTCAATTAGGGAAACGCTTCTTAACAAGGCCTGATATATATATATATATATATATATATATATAGTGATTTTAGGGGAAATAATTTAAAAAAAGGTATATATGTCAAGCTTTCCCAGGAAGCGACTGTGGGCGCACGCCTTGTTCGTCCACGTTTAGAGTAATTTTTTTAGACTAACTGGACTAATTTGCGGAAAAAGCTAAAGTTATTTACTACAAAAAAAAAATCTTAAATAAGGAAACAAAATTGTTACAAAGTATCAAGTTTAATTTATTATTATTATTACTAGAAAATTTATTATTTAAAAAAGTAAACTAAATAAAAAATTTTTTTATAAAATTTTTATACAACCTTTTTATTCTTTTTTTTTAGAGTTTAACAACCATTGAAAGTTTTGACATGCAAATTTAATAATGTTTTTTATCAGTCTGTATAATTAAGAAACTAGTTTGCTATGTATACTAGAACTATAAGAAATTTTGTTAATTTTTTTCTTACGTTTATTATGTTTATTCTTTTTACGTCTTTTTGCATTTAAAAAAGTTTTTGCTATATTTGACTTTTTTTCTCAATACTTACATAACAGGAAAATAAGAAAATAAGTCATTTATTTGTAAAAAAAATGTTATTTAATTAATAAATTTTCTTAATGACGGAATAAGTTATATAAAAGAATAACGTAGTTTCTTTAATAAATGTATTTAACACATTTGATGCATGTATGAAATTGTTTCTTTTATATTGCCCAATTTTCAATGTTAATACTAATTACTAGAGATAAAGAACATAATGATTGCTTTGATTAAAAAAATGTATTAAAAAACTTAAACAAAAGTCTTTTTAATTTCATTACGAAAGTCCAGTATATTAACAATGCACTAGCCCACAAAATTTTGCAGCACTATTTCATTTTTTTACAAGAAAAACTTGTTAAAAGAAAAAAAATTTAACAAATAAATTGAAATTAGTTTTCTTGCTTTCCTGTCCATTAATAAAAACAGTGAAGTTTAACAAAGACATTTGAAAAACAAATTTAAAAATTGTCCGTGTTTCTAGCGCAATTTCTAAAATATATAAAATACTGACTGAAAAAAGTTGCATAAAAATTGTATATCAAAAAATATTTTTATTCTTACCTAATTTTTTACCTACTTGTATAAATTTTGGTAGTGGAAAATAACAAATGCTCAAAAATTAGAAAACAAAAACAGTAAATATTTAGGTATTATTTTTTTGACAACAATTTCTTTTTTTTTTATTAATAAATTTATTTTAGCTTATTTTATTTAGATTTCGTATAGGCTTTGGTTTTTTTCTTTGAGTATTGCTGATTTATTCTCTAGTTTCTTATAGCTTTATTTTGCGGCGAATTCTTAAAACGCTTTACTATATAAAAATGTGGTCAAGTTAACTAAAAAAAATTATATTTAGCGTAGACATACAAGGCATGCGACTGCACGCGCTTCCTGGGAAAGCTTGATATGTATATATATTCCTACAATAAAGGTTTTCCAGACTCAAATATAATTTATATTTTTTTAAGTCTTCTGTTAACTATTTTCTTTTTATTTAACAATATTTTTTGTTCTCTGGTAACTCATAACTTAGTAGTGGTTACTTGCAGCCTTGTTGGCAGTGAATTAGTTTTTTTTTTTTTTTTAATGCAGACAAGTAAAGTTTTGAGCTTTAAATTTAAAAAAAAAATCTAACTGAACAGCTCTGTAGGTCACCTTTTTCAATCATTGTGTCGCATAAACAATTCAAAATATATACTTTGTGGCTGGTGAGCCCTGACTTTTTCCAATGTACACCACAATGACAAAACGTACATTAGGCTGTTCTGCTGGATGTGGTTATGGCGCTCAAGAACCTTATGACTACACTGACACTCACGCGCACATTCATTCGGAAGCTTCACAATGCACGTCGGAGCAGTGCTTGCTAACTATGTGCTCGAATCTAAAATCTCACTTCATAGCACATCATTCCACACCAGCACAGGGTTGTAGCTCATTTGACTAAGAGTGATAGCTTTTGGCCTATGTGACTAATGTGTGCATTTGATCAATTGAAATCCATTTTGTAGGTCTTACGTCTGGCTCTGATGTGCTAGCCCATAAGTGCAAAGAATGAGTGTGTTTAACTTTCTATTCACCCAATTTGAAAGTGGATGAAAACATAAACCATATCAGATAACCAAATGAAACATACTAATGCACTACACTGTCACACCTGTAGATATCAACAGTCTCTAAATCAGTATATCAAATATTTGTTCTTTGTTACATAAGATCTATGCACTGTGATTAGAGTGTTAGTTATTTCTCCCCTGCCCTCTGAGCATCTAACTTTATTCTTCATCTTCACAAAGGTCTTACCACTCATTTTATAATTTCCTATGATTTTTTTTTTATTAAACAATACCATCTAATAACTGTTTTATTATCACATCTCCCAGGTCTTCATAACTGGACAGCTCCGTTGGTCACTTTTTGTGATCATTGTGTTGCATAAACAAATAAAACCTGTATTTTTGTTTAATTATAGAGATCTTGTTGAACAATGGATTCAGGCAAAGTACGTTAGAAAAGAATTTGTTGAAAATACAGATAGTTCTTCTTTACCCTATTTAAAAGGTTTGATGTTCTTTCATTTTTGATAATTCATAAAGTATACTTTATCTCAAATAAATATGTAAAAATCTTAAAATATGTCTGAAAAAATATATCTTAATCAATGTTAAAATAAATAAACTTGGTTCAAATTTTAAAATTAGAATAAATAATAATGATTTAAAACTAATTTTTTTAAATTGTCTCTGTAACTGAAGTTAGGTAAATGCAGTAGAAAAAGAATTTAGAACAATTATGTAAACATTATAACCGCTCGATCTTTTCAAAAGTTTTAAAAGTCTCTTGGGAGAAAATAACTGCAAAATCAAATAACTTATAATTTAAATTTGGTTCCTTTTTCAATTCTATTTTTGATTGAAACTTTAGTTTTGGTATTGATCAATGCTTATTGTATAATATTTATTAATGTTTATATTTAATAATAGTTGTAAGTTTTTTTTTTATAATGAAAATTTTTATGTTTCATAAACATTTGAATTGCCCAAAAAAAATTAATTTTAAATTTGAGAACCAAATAGTATTGTTTTAAATCTAAATGTTAGTGAAGTGTTTGTTAAGTGAACTGTTTTTTTTAACTAAGCTACTTGAACATGTTGAAACTTGAAATAATTTGTTGTTAACTAAATATATTGAAACTTCCAATAGGTTGTTAACTAAACATATTGAAACTTCCAATTGGTTGTTATCTAAATCAAGAACAAAAGTGCAACAAAATAATTGCAATAAAAACAATTGAAAAGATTTTTGCTCAAATTATTGTAACAAATGAAAAAATAATTTTTGGAATATTTCCAAATATTCTGAAAATAAATGTTATTTAGAATATTTTGAAATTTTTCTGTATTTTCTTTTAACTTTCTAGTTATTATTATTATTATTTATCATTATTATTATTATTATTATTACTATTATTATTATTATTATTTTGTCATTTTTGTTTTAAAAAATGTATTTTTTCAATTGTTTATTGACATTTATTTAAAAAATTTAAATGTCAATAAACAGTTATAATCACTAAAATAAAAATTTTTTTGAATTTTTTTGAATTTTTTTGAATTTTTTTTTAAACAATCTTTATTACAAACTTGTTTACAGAAATTTCAAATGAATCGAATTGACTTTTGGGCTTGTGACTTTTAGTCACAAGCCCAAAAGTCAATTCATCTGCGGGAATATTTAAAAATATTTTCTATTTCCACAAAACATTGTTATGTGAATTAAATGTCATTTTCCATAAAATCAATTCGACAAAAAAAAGCAACAAAAAATGTGCTCTGTACACTAAGGTACAGGGCTTGTGTTTTTGAAAATAATAAAATTTAAGCTTAGGAATAGTTTCAAGTAACATAAGTACTTAGTAATTGTTTAAACAAATCATGTATTTAAGTAAATTTTTATTACTTAAGTAAAATCAAGTATTTTTTTTTTTCTGAATTAAATCAACAGAAAATTGATATTTTATACAAATTTGTATAAAAGTTGTCCGATTTTCAATTTGGAACCTAAAATTTAAAGTATTATAACTTTTTTAGTTTAAGTTTTCATTATTTCTTGGTTTTGTTTTATCATATTTTCCAAAAAAAGATTATAGTTTAGGCTACCGAAAAAAAAATTAAAAAAATGATAAATTATTAGAAATTATAGCAGATCTTTCTTATGTTCTTAATGATCCTAAAGCATCAACAGTTGAATGTACCTTTGTACGTTGAAAACCTCCAATGTTGAAACTAAAGAATCTTTACGAAAAAAGACTGAAGAACTTCACTCTTCCATGCTCAAAACTCCAATTTAATAAAAAGCAAGGCTTAAATGTTTTTGATTGCATCAAAAAAGAAATGGCTGAATTCGAAGGAAAAAAGTTACTTAAAATTACTTAAGTAATTTTTTTCCATTATTTGAACACCCCTACTTAAAAAAAGTGTATTCTTATGTAAAATTAAATTTCAAGGTAAATTTGATATGGACCACTTTTTGATTAGAAAATGTCTTGATACGCAAATTTTCACATTTAGACAAACTAAATTAGTATAAACCCGTTTTTATGTATTAGACTTTCATAAAGACTGCAGTACTGAATCAATTATAAAATAGATTCTGACTCAGAACTCCATTGCTTAAAATCTTTATAGGTTTGTAGTCTAAACATTCATCCATTACTAGAATTTCAGAGTTTGCTGGACCTGGATAGGATTTATTCCTAGTGAGTTGCCTACAAACAGGAATTTTATTGAAAGAACAAAAGAATTTGAGACCAAAAGTTTGAGACCAAAACAAATATTCTAACAGAGATCTTGCAAGCGATCTTGTTCCACTTGTTTTTGCTCAATAGAGAAAAGCACAAAGCAATCTTTTTATTATTGGGGAGAAATCCCAATATTATCGAATAAAAACTCTTTGGGAGAAAGTAGAAAATAAAAGCTGTTAGTTTAATGAATAAAATAAGCTAAAAAAGTTTTGAGTCTGGCCAAAAGAGGGCGAACTTTTGCTGAAAATGCCACTTAACTTAAGTTACATCGAAAACAAGGTAAAAAAATTGCTTCAACTTTTAGTTCTGATTTCTGCGAATTTGTATTAGAAACGATTGGCAGTTTGTATTAGAAACTTTCACAAGATGTTGAGAATTCTATTCCAAGTTTGTTTTTTTTTTTAAGTTTTAACATCACTTTCAACAACCACTATTAGAGTTGGAAGCTACTGGAAGAAAAAAGATAAAGTTGATAGAGCAAAATAATGATTGACAGACAACTTAAAATGTTGCAAATTATATGAATCAGGAAAGCAAGATAAAGGAAGCAAACAAAAGAACTAATGTTCGAGGAAAAAAACTAGATGAATAAGAGTTTTTGGAACATTTAATGAGACTTAATTGAATGACAAGTAACACGTAAATTAATTTTAGTAGATAACACAATAGATGCTAGCTCTTGAGCAGTGCCCATTATAGTATTTGTAGAAAAGAGAAAGAGAAGCAACATTACGATGATATGATAATGGTTGGAGGTTGGCTGCAAGAGCAGGTTCAACTATGTTTCAAATGCGTTTTTGCACCTTGTCTAAAAAAGAAAGGGCATCATTAGAAGATCTGACCCAGATATGGCAACAGTATTCCATACAAGGACGCATATGAGATTTATAGAGATAAAGAATAGAATCTGGAGTAAGAAAGTGTTGAGCACGATAAAGAGATGCAACCTTAGCAGATGCTAATTTTGCAATGGATTTGATATATGGTTTCCAAGAAAGACCAGAAGTAAGAGTTAATCCTAGAAGGAAAGGTAAATGGCTCATTGAGAACATAACCATTCATATATATAGGAAGATCTAGATTATTACAATAATGATTGGCTGAAAAAAACTAGGTTTTATTTGAATTTATTTAAATTCATTTTGTTACGGCTTAGGGTTTATTAATAGTAATAAGGCAATTACTTGGGCTATCAAATAGTGTACTAAGTACTATCTATGCTTTGAGCCAAGTTTTATAAAAAATTTAAAATGACTAAAGTACCAAAAACTATAAAACACAAAAAGTCATTGTCATCACCAACTCTAATATATATATATATATATATATATATATATATATATATATATATATATATATATATATATATATATATATATATATATATATATATATATATATCTGTGTGTGTGTGTGTTTGTGTATTTGGATTGGATGGTGAGTTAATAAACATAAATTTTATTTTATAGGTTGTGTGTGTGTGTGTGTGTGTGTGTGTGTGCGTGTGTGTATTTGGATTGGATGGTGAGTTAATAAACATAAATTTTACTTTATAGGTTTGGGATTTCACCTGCCTCAACTGCAGCAATTGCTACAAGTTATCTGCTAGATTTAATTGAAGCAGGATTTTACACCCCTGAATTCTCTTGCTTGTCATCCTTTGAAGTTTATGAGTGAGAGAAAAAAGAGGGAGGAAAAGAGTCAATGGGTGCAAAGAAATATGATAGTTCAAAACTTCCAAATGCAGATATAATATTGGTGTTTACTTTGATGGAAGGAAAGATTTAACAAGAGCAATGATAAATGATTCAAACGCACAGTTTCATTCTTTTATTATCAAAGAGCAACACATTACCGTGACTTTAAAACCTGGCGGTTGATATCTTGGTCACTTTACCCCAGATGCACCTATTCATCCAGATAAGCCAGCTAAAAAGATTGTTGAAGGTATTTATTTTTTGCTAAAACAACATAATCTTGTCGAATCATGTTTAGTACTTTGAGCAAATAATACTTTAATTAACACCAGCTGGAAAGGTGGTGCTATAATATTGAAGATGTTGAATCGCAAGTGCAGAATTTGAAAAATCTAGAGTTGCTTGTATTATTATGTTTACAATTTTACTTTTTTTTGACATAAAAGTAAAAGACATATTTGAAAATGTTTTCTATTACATTCTTTCTCAATTAAAAATTCTCAGAAATCAAGCTGGTAGGGTAAAAGAAATTGTGATTACCTACATCCAGTGAGGAGCTTAGTATTAGTGATCAACCAAAATAGAAAAAAAGACGAAAACAAAATAAACCGAAATTTTGGATACTCAAATTCTGTGCCGAAACCGAAATTTCAGCAAATATTTTACCGAAACCAATACCAAAATTTTGGCCAGTCAAAATTTATTTTATTAGAAAAGTTTATTTAAAAATGCAATTTTACATTAGTTGTTTTTTTATACTAGTATTATTTTAAAATTAATTCAAACTCAAATTAAGATTTAATACACAATTCGGCAATGCAGATTTTCTCTGCAAAACATGATTTTTGAGGTATTTTGTGAAAACTCTTAATATTTTTGTGAAAATTCTCAAAATATTTTTGTGAAAATTCTCAAAATATTTTTTGAAAACTCAATATCTTACAGTTATTTTTTGAAAAAAAATAACTGTAAGATATTTATAAGATAAATATCGATTTCCCGTATCTTTTTCAACCAAAGATTTGTCTTTTACCAAATTTATAAGAAGTTGCAAAACAAAATTTTGATCGATCATTACTTGTTATGCAAACCACAAAAGTTTTATTACCTCTTTGCTATCCAGTAATAATGCAGAAAACCGCAACTTTGTAGTTGACCTTATTTTGAAACAAAGGGGTAATTATATCCTTGGAGATATGCAAATTCGACCAAGAAAAACCCCTAAGCTGAACTTTGCAGCAACTGCTTTTCAAGAGCTAGTTAAATGGGAAAATGAAGAAGTACAAGTACTTGTTACTAAAGTTTACTAAAGTTGTTAAGATCGACTCCTTTAATAACTACATTTTTCAAAATTTGTACCCAAAGTATTGAATGTACTGTCAAACAAGTGACAGTAGCATCTATGTCAGTAGTTGGACTTGATGCAAGAGATTGGTATATTATTGCTAGGCTGCAGGCGATGATAAAGATAGCAAGGATGCATTCCTGACAAGCGATGCTAGTCATTTTTTATCAGGCTCTCCGAAACATCATTGGTGAATATATTGTGACCCTGAGGATGGAGTTTCACCTACATTAGTCCACTACTTAATTTTAATTGGGTCTTTCAACACCATGATTTTTATTATCTTTCTACTTTCCCCTGTTGGTTTTTTTTATATATGTATTTATATATGTATGTACATATGTGTGTGTATATGATTAAAAATTACTTTTATGAAAAGATTGTTTTATTATTAAAAAAAGTCTAAAGAACTTTTTATTTATTAAAACCTTGTAAAAAATATGTTTAATGCTCTCTATTCCTCCTCCTGAAAAGTTCAAAATCTGTACTGCAGATAAATTCTATGCAAAATAATAACTATAAATAAGTATCAAACAAACTTGTAATTGTCTAAAAATATTATTTGCATTAAATTTTTTTTTTAAATACAAACAAAGGGCATATTATTTATTAAATGAGGTTTTATATATTATTTCAATATCTAAAAGTGCAAAATTGGGTATCAAAACTTTGTCAGATCAATAAAATATTTTAGGAAGCTCTATTTAAAATTTAATTTTACATAAGAATACATTTTTTCCTAAGCTTTTAGAAAATTTGTGCTGTACACTACTGTGCACTGTAAATACATTCATAAACTTTTTAAAACTGTGGTTCTAGTTAGTTTGTAAATTTATTTATAGGTGAAAAAAAAGGTTGGTTGTTCAAAAAAGAAAAAGATGCTAGTAAATGGAGGAAGCGGTTATTTGTTTTGTCTTCACAACAAGGACAACTAAGCTATTTTATACATGAGGAAGTATGTAACATTTCAAAATTTTTTTTTCAAGTTTTTTTTTAATATTTTTGATACTATTACTTTTACAATCTTTTTAGAACAATAAACCCAAGCGTATAGTACAAATTAGAAGCATAAACATGATGTTTGTTTCAGAAGAAATAACACAAAAAAAACATTCAATGTTAATTACATTTCCATTTACCAAAAATCGTGAAATAAAGCTAAGACATATTTATCTACATTCTGAAACTAGTTTTGTATGTTCTTTCAATCTATTTATATATATATTTTTTATCTTTATTTATATTACTTGTAGTATCATTTTTAATTGGTTTTTAAAATCAGGTTATTATCATATGTTTTGTTTAGCATGTTTTTATTTATCTTATTGGCTTTTCAATATTGTTTATATATTTTTAAGGAAATTGTTGACTGGTATCTTTCTCTACGCGCTGCTCGCCTTTCCTTTTTAAAACCTTATCTTTATGGTTTAGATGGTGTTGAGGTAAGATTAAACTGCTGATATTTTAAAAACAGTCTCAAAACTTAAGTTAAAAACCATGTTTAATTTTTTTTGACCAAAAATAAAATTTGTATAATATTCCTGCAGATCCCAGGATTTTTTTTTTTAAAAGGTAAATTTAATATCCCAATCGCAATAAAAATGTTTAAATATTAAAGGCTCACTTAATTTGAATGTTTCTTTTAGCTTCTTTTTTTCTTGTTTTTCCTTTTTACTAGTTAAAAAAGTAGTATAGTTGCTTTAAGCTGTGTCTATATGTTTGGGATTGTTCTTAAGCTGTGACTTTATGCTTGGAATTGTGCTTGAAAGTTTCTGTTAATATTATAAATTCTTAATTATTTTTATTAAAAAACTTTTGTTGTTTTGTTCATTAAATTTGTTTTTTTACACATTTATTGAAAATTTAATTTATGACTTTTAGGTTAGTCGACTATTGAACAGAAGTTATATTAAAATGGGATTTCTGTATAAAACAGGGTCAAAGGTAGATGTTTATAATGTTATTAATGGTTAATTACATTTTAAATAATGTTTGTATTTTTCTTAGCCATTTTTGTGTGACCAGTTGACTCTGCCATTTTTGTCTTTATAGAAACATCTTTGTTTCGAGGCTGAGAAGGAGCAAAACCATTTTATTAGATGAATTTTTTTTTTTTTTAATTTTATTTAATCTTTATGAAATCATTGAGAAAATTATAATTAGATGACACAATTTGATGACACAGTTTTTAGAATTGTTTTGAATTTAGAATAGCTGCACAAAAATGTGTTTAGAGTGATAAGTTGTGATAAAGTTATAAGAATTGAAAGTAATATGACCGGAAGTGGATGATATGTGATGAGAAGAATTGATGGCTTTACACCATTAAATACTGTATCAGATTGTTCATTATAACAATTAACAATGCAATACCATAAAAACTATCTAGAAAAAGATTTACAGCTAGCTATTGTACTTAGAACTGTTGTAGAATGTTAAAACTTTTTTTTTCCCTCTAAAATGCATTTAGTACTTGATAAAACTTTTTTAGTTGTCATTTTAAGTATTGAATAAGTTTTTTTTAAGTAAAACAAAGTGACAACAAAAAATCCTATTATATTGCTTTTTTGATTTTATAAAGTTTTATGTATTTATAAAGTTTAATGTATTTTTTATCTAACTTATGTTATATAATTTTAAAATTTTTAAAACATAATCATAATTTTTCTCATTATTTCTTCAGAAAGGCGATGGCTGGCGTAAAAGATTTGTATGTCTGGATTCCCGCCGCTTTTTATACTTTTCTAATGCAATGGTATGTTTTTATTATATTTTCGAATGCAATGGTGCGTTTAATGCATTTAAAAATATCAGTAATAGCAATGTTAAAAAATTAATTAAGCTAGAGATAATTTTATGTGTGTGTGTGTTTTGAAACTATATTTTTATTCATTTGAATTCAGGATCCAGAACCTCTAGGTGATATAAAAATAGAATCTTCTCCAAATAATCAATGTCTGTTTGAGGGCGTTAACGGCACTCACCCTGCCAGTCCGACGCCTCATTGTTTTTATGTGCGCTCTTCAGTTAACGATAGCTCTTCAGTTAAAGAAACTTCGTTAGTACGAGAAAGCTCGCGTAAAGGGCGAAATCCCGTTTTTAATTTTTGCTCTGAAACCAATGAAGACATGAAAGATTGGATATCTGCGTTTAATTGCGCAATGAAATCAGACACAGTTGAGTCGGTAGAACCAGACACAGATTCTCAAAGGACCTCTCAGTTGTTTCGTTCCTCTTCTAGTTCTTCTGAAGACTAACGTAATAAATTTTTAACGTTGTGTTTTTTTTATTAAATTATTTTCATAAATCACTTTAAAAGTTTTGCAATTTATTTATCAAGTATTTAATTTGCTTTTTTTTGTTTTTAAAGTTTATAAATTTTTTTCAATTAGCAATTTTTTACAAAGCAAATTTATTATACCTTTAATATAAATTTTTCGTACATTTTTTGTACTATATTTTTTGTACTACATTTTTTGTACTGCATATTTACTATTATTTTTTAAAAATTAACTCAGAATAGTTTATTGGACATTTCTATTGTGAAAATGTCCAACTTTTCGTTGTATATTTTTTAAAACTGCAAATAAATTTTCAATAAATAGTTATAATTAATACAAATCTTTTTTTTTATTGAAGAGTTTTATATATTTTAATATTAAATCTAGTATATAAAAAGGTCGTACGAGGCAACCATGTACCTCGATGTACCATGTTCCCTCGAAAAAGATCAGTAAATCAATTTAATGATAATTTTAGATTATTTTTTTTAAATTTTAAATATTTTAAAATTATTCAGCCGTTATATCAAAATATAACTGAATAATTTTAATATAAAATTATTCAGTCGTTATAGCCAAATCAAAAATTGGCTTCTTGGTTTATTCGCGGCTCAAACTAACTAAATAATATTGTATTATGCGTATTTTCTATTTGTCCTAGCAGTGTTGCATTATAGAGAGAATTTTTTTATTTATTAGAATTTTAATGATTGAGTTGTGACTACCACGTGCTGCAATAATAAATCGCATACCACATGTTGCGAAATTAAACTGAGGATATGGGCAGACCTTGATGTAGCTAAATGTCAAATTTAATTAAAAATAGATATAATTGATTAGCATAAAGTATAATTGAAAACAGCTATACATAACAGAGTTATACATAAAAATGAAGATCTAAAAGATATGTTGATATAGGTTGTTACTATTACCAACCTATATCAACATATTATATTAAGTATATAACCTATAAATCTTTATTATATTTAAAAAACATTTAAGTTTTAAGCAACGAGTCAGACATACGAGTTCCATAAGGACGCAAGATACGCTCAACATAAGCTGACGTTGCTGGGACTCAGAAAAACTTGTCAAATATAATTCTGATTTTTGAATACTGCTCTTCTTTTAACGAAAACTTTTTTTGAATAAAATCTGGTGAATTTATTCGTTTAAGATGGAAGTTGAAAATACCAATTTGTGGCGGTAGAACATAATTTTTTCTAATCATATAAGATTCAGACTTTTGCAAATTGAAAGCGTAATCATTATTTACAAATATTTAAAAAAAAAAAAGAAACATGGTTTGCTTAGCCTGAAAATTTGCTACACCAATGCATCTTGTTAGACCATCACAAAGTGATCCCAAAAATACATCAGGTTTCACAAACATAGTTGGTACCATGTTATTTAATAATAAAATTTATAATTTAGCTAAATCTTTCATAAGCTTTTGTTCTTTCCTTGTCATTAATTAATGTTCAACGTTGCATTTGTTCAACTTCAGGTTTAAAGAGTTTTTTTGTAAATTGTATATTACGCGCCTGGTTTTTTTCATCTTAAAAAATAATAGTTGTAATATATTTTGAATCAATGTAATCTATTTATGTTTCTGGTTAATATATTTTGAATGAATTTTCCTTTACGCTTATGACATTTTATGACATTTTACGATTGTGATATTTTACAAGAACCTGTTCTTTACCCTTATTACATTTTACGCCTATGACGTTTTACAAAAACCTGTTCTTTACGCTTATGACACTTTATAAGAACCTGTTCTTCTACTTTAATATAATCTCTTTTCATTGCAAAAAAAATGAATTTTTTTTACTTAAATATACTTTTTGTCTTAGCGTTCTCTTACATCCTTATTATTCCTTATCACATGGTAATTTTTTTATTATTATTATTAAAGGAATCTTACTTTTGATGATTCTATTAAATAGTAACGTAGTTTATGGTTTTCCCCATTCATCACGAGAAGCACATTTTTAATTTCAAATCATAATTTAAAGTATGCTCTCTCTAATTTCTACCCATAAAATGAGTTTATTTTAACTTAAAACTGCATTAGTCTTTCTATTTTATCATTTGTTGCGAATATAATCGTGATATTTAATGCAGTTTATATCAACATTTTCAAAATACAATTTTAAAGTCTCGCCTTGAAACGGTGGACTGTTGTCACTTCTCTTATTTGGATAACCAAATATAACAAATATTCTTTCTAGTTTGATATTGGCTCGGGTGCCATTTTTGTTACTCAAAAATTTACATAAACTGCCATTTTATTTTCATCTGACTCATAAGGAATTTTACGTGGAGTGCTTTTTCTTTTTTTATTTATTACATAAAAGTCGTACACCTACAACTTAATTTGCTGTATTGCGTCCATTTAGTTTAGATTTAAAAGAAAAGATAAAATTAGGCAGTTTTTAGTCCACTAAAATCTTAAAATTATTTTCGTACGAATATAAATGTAACTTTTCAACGGCTCATACTTAAGGAAGATCTTCCGATCTTCCTTTGGTAATATCATCGGTATGATATTACCAAAAGAATGTGTATACTATATCATAACTATTACAGGAATGATATTACCAAAGGAATATTATATTATAAATTAAGATTATTAAAAGTATGATATTACCAAAGCAAAGATCGGAAGATCTTCCTTTGGTAATATCATACTTTTGCTGCTATCTTCTGTAATATCATACTTTAATTCGAATGCTCTTACTTTTATCCAGATAAAATTAAAAGCATATTTAAAAATAATGATAATCGTGATTATTTTAATATAATCCACATTAATATCAGAAGTTTAAAAAAAAATTTCGATAACTTTTTAAATATGATTTGTCAAACGGAAAATTTTTTTAACGTTATTTGCTTAAGGTGGTTCACCACTAAAAAAAAAAATCCCCAAATTTCATAATTTCAAATTAAAAAGTGTATAAAAGCATAATATATGAAAATAAAAAACAACCTAAGTGTCATTTTACAACAATTTATTCCTAAAATCGCGAAAATATGTCAAAAAGATTGCAAAATCAATCAAATTTGAACAAAATTTTGAAAAACGATAACTTGGAAACCATTTGAAATCAGATACTTATATTTTGCAAAAAGTTTGATGCACATAAAACGAAGGGCCTGAACCAAAATCACTGCTATATTCTTAGTAAAAGTTGAAATTTTTGATTTTTTTTGGCAAAAACATCAAAATTTGGGGGGTTGGCTAATGAAATGAAATAGAAAAATGTATATAATTTATCAAATCCAACAATATTTTTGGTTCAGGCCTTCCATCATTACACGTAGAACATGTCATGAAAATTTGAAGCAAAAAGCTTTAGTCATTTAAAAGTTATGATATTTCAAAAATTAAAAATTGCACAAAAAAGTGAATGAAGAAAAACAACAATAAACATTTTATAACTAATATAAATATCAAAAACTTCCAGATAAGTAGGGTTTAAAGGTTTCCAGTTGTTTTTCTTCATCTTGCCAACCCTTGTTAATTGATTTTAAATGTATTCTTCTCCTTTTTTTTTCAAAAGTGTCTTTTTTATTCATGCTGGCAACGCGTTTTTGGACTCTACAAAATGAGGACACTGCAAATTTTACACCATTCTCAAGATTGAGGTGACTCATCACTCTCTGAACACCAGCAGTTCCCTCTCTGTGAACTCATTTGAGTTGGGAGTGAACTCAGCTGTATTGTATTAAAATACAATACAGCTGAGTTCACTCCCAACTCAAATGAAGCTTTGTGAATAAAAATATTTTTTGGGCATCTAGACCATATAATACTATTAAGACCCTCATTAGAATTTTGTGTTTGACCATGAATGCATTTTTTCAAAAGGTTGTCATCACTTAATTCTTCAAACTCTTTCTTAATTATATCATATATCCATACTGGCAAATTAACTTTTGGTATGTAAATGCTGTTACCTGAAAAGTTTCCTTTCTTCCATTTACACCAGCTATTAGAACCCACTGGACATAACACGTGGCGACGAAATTGATCAGGAAAATTAGTGCAATGGTAAAGAACTGCGCGAATGTTTTTTTTCATTTGGTATACCTTTTCATTTTCACTTAAGGAATTATTAGCTGCAGCCTGTCTAATAGCCATACCAAAATAGTTTTGTATTCTATTAACTGCGCATTCTGTCAATTTTCCTTTTCCAGTTAACCGATTACCATGATGTCGATCTTTTCTTCGATTACGTAATCTTGTACCAATGCGCTTCTGGATATGACCAACACACTCTAACCTTTCCGGTTCGATTTGATACTTTCCATATGGATTACTGCTAAGAACATCATTAAATGCAGAGAAATCTCCATCTCCCAAATAATATTTATAAATAAAATCATTTTTTTCTACAGAACGATTAAATATCTTTACCACACCAGCACTTTCCATAGCCCCTGACGATGCAGTGTGATTTAAGGAGCAAATATGATTAGCTTTCCATTCAGTATAATCTGGGTGATTTTTCTTTCTTTTCCACATTCTACATCCCCTACAATACTTGCAAAAGACTTTAAAGTCAATACATCGCCCTTCTGAAATAGTGGTCACCACACCATTTAGTGAAACATGACCGCGTTTTTGCCATGAGCCATCTGAAGAAACTCTAATTAGTTTTTTTCCTGAACCAATGTGCTCCTCTTTAACTTTATCTTTAACTTTTATTCCAGCTGCCTTTGTGGATTGTTCTGCTGATAATTTATATGCATTTTGAATAGTGCTATTAAGTTTGTTAAATGCGTTGTTATTCATACATGAAGTGTTTGCGATTCGGGCAAAGTCCACTAAGGCTTGGTGGCCTTTCCCAATTTCATGAAAAGCAATAACGATTCTAAGGTTAAGAATCGTTACTGCTTAAGGTTGTTTAGGTACAGATTTTTTAACATCATCAGATGTATATGTACAATACTGAAATTTACATTTAGTACATTTAAAATTCAACTTGTGAGAAAATCCACTTCGTTTATCGTTGTCATCTGTAAAAACAATACAACTGTTACATTCTGGGCAACTGCCAATATTATCAATAACTTTTTTTAAAATAGAGAAGTTTATTATAATTTTATAATTTTCTGAATTAATATAATTATTAGCTTTTGTTAAAGAGACTTTGCTGGCACTAACTGAAACATGCTCAACATTTTCGTCTTCTTTTAGGGTAGGGGTTTTGTTCCACTGGTTGCCACAAAATGCTCTTTTTCTTTTTGAACTCTTTTTTTTTTTGCTTCCCATTATATATAATATCCTAATATTTTAAAATATATAATATGAAACTGATAAAATAT